TAATTGTTTTCAGCAAGAGCTGCTTCAGGTAAAGGGTGTTGGGATGAAAGAGCCTCATCATAAACAACCAAATCACCAACTGTCTGTCATCACAGCCGTGTCACATCGCCAAGAACCAAGCAAACATCATGCCGATCTTGGCCCTTGATCAATTGGATGAACCCACTTGCTTTCAGCAAGAACTGTTCCAGGAAAAGGGTATTTCATCATAAGCACCCAAATCAAAAGCATACAGTAGGGGGGAACCCAAATCTAAAGACAACCATTAAGATGCTTGATTCATTTAACCCGAATCTCAAGAGACCTGTGGATGCCGCCCTCAAGAGCATACGCACATCGACACGCTTTGCAACTCAACAACGGTCCCGGGTGCTGAGGGCTCCCACACGGCCTACCAGCTTCCCCAAGAGGCCCTTTGCAGGCACCAAGGCCTCAGCAGCCTGGTCCGCGTGCGGGGTTTGGAGCATCCAAGGTCATGAACTTCGCTTCTGCCGGGGGTTTGAGGGAAAAGCTAGAGGAGGCATCAGGAGACCATGGTTTTTCATCGTCAGACCTGCAGATGTTAGCTTATATCTTCTGGGAGGTCGTTCTGAGGTGAACTGCAAAAGTGGTTCAGGTGGTGGGAAGGGTACGATCCTCAATTGAGGTCACATGGTTGCGTCAAAATGCAACATGTTTTGTGATGTTTTGTGTTTTTTGCTTTGATGAATTATGTGTTCCTCAAGCTTGTGGGTGTGCTGAGCCAGCATCACTTCCCTGAGTTGTTTTCATGTTCATACTGCCTTTTGTTTATGTCGCATATTGCAGCATATGTCTTTCCATGGAACTCCAGTTGCATGAAGTGTTTGTCTATGCCTGGCATGTCGCACCCATCCATGCACATCCACCCACCCACCGTCACGGACACAGACGGGCGCTGCCGTGCTCTTGATCCGGCCCCCGAGCCCAACTGCTCACGAGCTCCGAGAGCATCGAACGAAGTCCGGACTCCTGGGGATTCGGAAAAGGAAGAAGAGTTGAGGTGTTTTTAATTCAACCCTAGGGCTCCAACCACTTCCTGAGAAGGTGGTTGGGGTGAGTTTGGGGGGTCTAACCACCTTCTGAGGATATGGTTGGAGCCCTAGGGCAAATAATCAACGTAGTTTCTTTCAAACACATCTCAAACTTTGAGCTTGTATGGGGTTGTGAACGCATGTTGCATAAATCATCCATATTCCAGCATGCCTACGTACTTCCCGGAATCAAAGCAAGTCAGCAAGTCGGAATAAGGAAAAACAGTAGTGGTAAGGAAGTCCAGATCACTTCTCTTCTACCAAGTAGAGGACATGTAAAGGTCCTTCTACCAAGGACATGTAAAGGTCCTTCTCTTCCAAGTTCACACGTGAGATCTTGCGAACGAAGCCTTTCCGCGAGGTCGTTCTTTTTCCTCCCACCCGATGTGCTTGCGAAACGTGCAACGCAAACGGTACAGTATGCATTCGGTCCGAGCAATGTTTGAGGACAAACAACTCGAGAGCAGCACATTAAACCTACAGGTGTGACTAGAAAGTCATTGCACTATGGTCATGTTGAGAGTGGAATAATGCGTTGTTTGGAATAACGCGTTGGAATAACGCTCAGCTTTTTCGAGCAGATTTCGACCGTTGGCACCATATATATAAGCAGAATACACACTTTGAAAGCTTCAACCCTTGGACCACTCTAAGAGCAAGAGGATGCGACAGGCAGTTCAGGTTCGTAGGATTCTTCTCCTCTTCTATTGACTCATGGTCATTTTGGGAACACTCAGCCACCCAAAATGAGTGATCGAAAATCGCTCGCCCAGTCCGTGGGCACTGGCCGCGCAAGGCCAAGGCGCTCCACCTGGATGCCGGTCCAAGAGGGACGACGAAAAGCTTGAGCAATCTGGAAACCTATGAAACCTGTCGATGCAGGTAGTGAAAGGAATCATTTCCTGATCTCAATTGGTGGACAATTCTGTCACCTAGACTGGCGGCCTTCCTCCATCACTGCATAATATGTTCAGGACAGGATGGGACCACATGGGACCCAAATAGGTGGTTTATGGTGTCTGTGTGTGTGTGCGTGTACGTGACCACGCGTGTGTCCTAGAACCCCTTTTCG